TGAAAAGTGAAAGATAGGATATATTTGGAAAGACACATTAAAGTCAAAAGCCTATGGTTAGGGACTGGGGTTATGGCTCAGCCACAGAGCGCTTGCCTCGCACATGGAAGGCCTGGGTTAGATCCTCAGCACCACATAAAAATAAATAAATAAATAGATAGATAAACTTCTTTTAAAAAGCCTGTGGTTATTTCAAAATAGGAAAATAACTCATACTTCTTCCTTAAGCTCAAAAATTATGCATTATATTGAATAGTCAACTTAAGCAGGTCTTCATATGCATAAAATTCTGAGACTAAGTACTACTTTGTTCTCAGGCACATTACAATTGGCATTACGTTACAGAGGTTGAGAATGAAAAAAATAAAACCAGCCATTTTATACTCTTACATGGGATAAAATTGGTGACAGTAAGATTCCATATTCATGATTTCTCAAAACCTCTTCTGATGTGTACTTTAGAAAAAAGACAACTCTTCTTTGAGGGTGGAGTTTTATTTATTTATTTACTTTCCATATTAACTCATCCTAGATGTTTGGAACAGAGGCAATAGCTTTCTTTGTCACTTAAATGGGAAACAGAGAATTCAACTCTTTAAAAGATACCATATTTATATGATGTTTACTGCCCATTTTATTTATCTGAATCCAAATATGAGAGAATGAGAAAGAGAGAGAGAGAGAAGAAAAAGAGAGAAAGAGAGAGAGAGAGAGAGAGAGAGAGAGAGAGAGGGAGGAAGGGACATACACAATAATGGAGGCAGTCTAATCAAGTCCAAAATCCATAAGGTCATCCATCAAAAGGACAGGTTAAAACTCCAGGTGGAGGATAAACCTCAGACCGCTTGTGAAGCTTCATCCTCCTTGGGCCTTATTACCTACTGGGTGAGGATCCTTGTGGTTATATTGGCCCCAACCAAATATATAATAATATAATCTGGGGTATTCTGCCGGTTCCAAATCTCTTAACCACCTGAGCACAGTTCCTTCTACTATGTGAGGAATATATTTTTAGCTTCTAGGGATTATACTATAACATTTCAGGGAGCTATTATCCTATCAAAGAAATTAGTGGTAACAATAAAATAGAAGAAGAAAGGAAGATTGAATTCACAAATTTCAAGTTTTTTGAACACAGAAAAAAATAAAATTATTTTCAACTTTAATGGAAAGGACAGAACCAGATTTTTCATAATTTTACCAAACTATTAAGCATTTACTATGCTATGCTTGCATAGAAAATACTTAAAAATAAAGTGCTTATTATACAATTAAATTTGATCCACATTGGTTAGAAAATTACTTAGGAAAAAAAATAGTTTTATGTCATGCATTAAATGATCAAATTACAAAAAAAAAAAATTTATCAACTAGAAAGATAAATAATCCACCGGTAGGGAAAACATCATTTATTTTGAGGATTTCCCCAAGCCTAAAAAAAAGAGAGAAAGAAAGAAAATAAATATGATAGAAGTATAAGTATTCCATTTGTATTGTTCAGATGATACAGATAAGAAAAAAAAGAATACAATTTTGTTCCCAGAATCGCCCCAGAAGCATTTTTTTTTCTCTATTGTTTTTGCCAATTCAGTTTCCAAATGTGCCATCTAACAGAACAGAAATTAAATGATCTTCCGGGTTGCCCCTCAGCAGTGAAGAAAGCTATGCATTCTATTGAAAACAAATGTAATCAAACAAAAGCTATAAAAAGGGAAGGAAGGAGAAAATCAAGCAAAATTTCAGAAAGAAAATGGTTTTACAAAACCAGTATATAAATGGACTGATGAAGGAAACCATATTGAATCAACAGTAAGTAAATTGAGTATTAATAATATTGTGCTGAAAATTAGCAAAAGTGTGCCAGTTTCACCCTGAGAGGTGTTACATGAACAAGGATGCCACAATAAGAAAAGAAAACTGTTTTTATTCTTATTTTAAAACTTTCAAAATTTTATCTGAGACTTCTGGGAGGTTTATTGTTATTGTTGTTTTGTTATTGTTCTTGTTTGTTTGTTTGTTTGTTTGTTTTACAAACTGCCATGCGTGTGTTACCTTTTTCCTTTGGATACCAAGATACATTTTCTGTTTCCATGCTCAATTCCATCTCATTATGAGAAAAGTAAACTACAGTCTCTTTATTTTGGGATATATTTATTTTTCCATTTATAGATATTCTTAGTGATCACTTCTTTTCCTGTGTTATCATTGTGGTCGACTTTCTCCATAACCCCAACTCCTAATAATATTTTCAGTCCCTACCACTTCTCATGTTGTCTGAAACAGAATAAGACTTCAGTATGATATGACTAATTTATAAATATATACGCTACATAGGGCTGCTGTTTCTGATATTTTTTAAATATTTTAATATCAACAGCTTGAAAACTAGGAACATGTATTATGAATAATATTAGAGTTACCAGGTATGTGGGTTATAAGGGTAAAACTTTTACGGTCTTAATTTAGCCGGAACTACTCAAAAAAATATCAAATTGTCAACTAATCTGGATATTCAATTATATTGAATATTCTGTTGCCTTTTTCATGAGGTCAAATCTGTTGGAGAATTATTTTTTTTCTCAAAATGTAAGAGATCAATAATTAATACAAACAACAAGCTTATTATGTTCAGAGTGTTAATCATTGTGCCAATACTTTACCATGTAAGTCTAATTTAATTCTGAAAATATTTGTGAATAGTACTTACCATATTGACTTTACAACGAAGACACATTTTATAGTCTTAGATTTAGAAATGTAGAATTAGAATTAAATCCAATCTTGTCCAAATTCAAAATCATGCCTTATCATTATATCACTTTCATTTTATCCATGCTCATCACACATTTCACAGAGACCTAGGAGACACATTCAAAGGAAATCTTCTTTTTTTCATTTTTTAAATTTTAATTTGTTATATATGACAGTAAAATGCATTACAATTCATATTACATACATAGAACAAAATTTTTCATATGTCTGGTTGTACACAAAGTAGAGTCACATCATACATGTACTTAGAATAATGATGTCCATCTCATTCCACTGTCTTTATTCTACATACTGACATCTACACTGGATGAACTGGGTAGCATGATTCTTTACTTATATATTTTACAATATAAAGTACTAAAATAGTCCTTTCTTATTTATACATTTTTCTTCTCTGGTTTCAGTTACTGCAGTCCATAACTGTCAGAAAATATTAAATGAAAATTTGAAGGAAGGAACAATTTACAATTTTAAATTTTGGATCATTTTTAAGTAATATAATGAAATCTCTGATCAACTTGCTGCAGCTCTGGCTGTCCTTCCTTCCTATGGCAAGAATTATAGTTTTGTCCAGTGTACCTGTGCTGTGAATGCTACCTCCTATGAGTCTCTTAGTGGTTTCTGTGGTTATCAGATCCAGTGTCTAGGTATTACAGTGTTTGGCCTCAGGTGACCCTAAATGTATTTCATAACAGACAAAAAGTGGAAGAATAATGATGCTGGGAATTTTCTTTCAATATATTTTTATAATTGTTTCATTTTATCAATTATTAATATCATATCATGTATAATTTACAAAATAATTTTTATGAAAAGTATATATGTGTGGGAAAAATATACTATATATAAAAATACTATATATATACTATATAAGTTTTGTACTACACATGACTTCAGCTATCAATTGGGGGATTGGGGACATACCCACTGTGGATAAGGGGGACTACTGTCAGTATAAACAATGTGTCAAATCAGAAGACTTTTAGATGCCACTATTTGTGTCCAAAACAATCATTCTACTTTTCAGTTTATTATGGATTTTTTAAAGAGAAAAAATTCTGAAGTAAATGTCTTTCTTTGTATATGCTTCTTATTTTCTCTAGATTTTTTATGATTTCCAAGAATTCTGGAGAATATGGTTTTTATTTTAGCAAAGGATGAACACTTAAATGTAGTTTCCTAAGAGACACTAGACACAGCTATTATTGTATTCATCTCCTCTGTGTACAGCAATGAACTAGATGAAAACCCTGTGTCTTCCTAATTCACTTGAATGTTCTATGTCTCTGTTTCTCAAACTGCATCCTCCTCCAGGAAACAAGGGTCTATGCAATGAGTGTTTTTTGATCTGCTGTAATAGAAAGGGTGCAATGCATCATAAGAGTGTAATTTAAGGAAAAAAATAAGCACGCTTTCTGAGTTCTTTAACCCTGATTCTTCTTAAATGTACATTCTGAGGATTCAATAGCTGTGCTTACTAGGGAAGATTGAGAAAGAAAATGTGAAATGTATTGTGGACTTTCTTAACTTTCTCTGACAAATAGTGAGGCTTCCTTTGCTTTTTATTTTTTTTTAACTGACCTAAATGGGATTTTTATCATGTTTAATTGCATTTAAACATTTTCTTCCATGGGAGTGTAAGAATCTTGAAAAAGGCTCTGTCATGTACACATCCATAACACTGAAGACTTTACATGTCTACCCAATAAACATACTTAAAGAACGAGCAAATACTTTTCTTTATGAAAAGATATGTATTTCTAACCTTGAAATTCATGGCAAATTAAATTATATTAGTTTTATATTAGCAACTAAGAACAGAGCAGGGAGGAAGAGCATGAGCAAAAGATTAACATTAAACAGATGAGTGGTGGGAGGGAAAAGGAGAGAGAAGGGAAATTGTATGGAAATGGAAGGAGACCCTCAATGTTACACAAAATTACATATAAGAGGTTGTGAGGGGAAAGGTGGGGGGAACAAGGGAGAGAATTGAACAACAGCAGATGAGGTAGAGAGAGAAGATGGGAGGGGAGGGGAGGGGGGATAGTAGGAGATAGGAAAGGTAGCAGAATACAACAGTCACTAATATGGCATTATGTAAAAATGTAAATGTGTAAC